TGTGTGCTAACACGAGCAGCAACCCCCAGTCCTTCTGACAGCCGAGGAAACGTTCCAACATTTCCAAATGGTAGCTTACAGCTCACTACATTGCTTCTTTGCTGTGGAGTCTGGTGAATATTTTCCCATACAATTGCATTTTCCAATTCCAAGAGCGATAAAGACAGCATCCACTTAAGAGGGACCCAGTAAGGCGACCTTGGCCTGCAGTCAGGCCTCCCGTCTCAGGGAAGGTGCGACAAACACGACAGTCCTGCAGACCAGCACCTGAGAGAATTTCTGCTGCGCACACATTAACAAATGAAGAAATGTGCTGCTGTTTCACAGTTTAAATTATGAACCATTGAATATCCTCTGTCTGTTTAATATGGGAAGTAAATTTTCACTCCAGGAAATCAGAGAATTGCCAGGAGTGAAGACACTGATGTTTTCATTTTCCCCTCTTATAATAATTATAGAGGTACATCACTCACACCACATGAGGTCCTGGACAAAAGGGTCTCCCAAACAGGACCAGTGGCCTGAAACAGGCAACCTGAGTTCAGGAAGACTTCAGGGACCCCACCTTACCCCAGGGACTGCCTCAGAGCAGTAACAGGTGCTGGGAAGCTGCTACAGAAGACTAACCATGCCCCTGCCCCCAGCCTGCCTGCCGCGAGGAAGGTCCGAGTATTCAGGGCTTCTAGGCAGCTTGAAAACCTGGGAGAAGCACCAGCTCAGCTGAAGAATCAGGCGCACCAAGTCCGCGCTCAACACGTGTTCGTTGATTTGATGCATGTGTGCGTGAATTGGCCAGCCGGAGTCCCTGGGTCCACGGCGAGAATGTATTTCACATCTGGGTGCCCGGTCTCCTGGTATTGTTTTCGACTTCTAGGGCAGTCCCTGGTGCAACCTCGGGCCCCTCCTGACCAGTAGTCAGCCCAGATGAGCCCGGTACCACTAAATCCCAGGACCAGAGCAAAAAATGTCAAGGGGCCCAATTCTCTCCTCTCCACCGCCACACCAATGGTCTCCCACACTGTTTCCTTTTCTAGGTTTTACAAAGAGCAATAATTGAGGTCAATGAAAAAGGCACTGAGGCCGCGGCAGGAACCCTGTCAGAAATTACTGCTTACTCCTTGCCTCCCATCATCAAAGTTGACCGGCCATTTCATTTCATGATCTATGAAGAAACCTCGAGAATGCTTCTATTTCTGGGCAGGGTGGTGAATCCCACTCTCCTGTGATTTACAACCTGCATAAGCACTTAGTGCTACAGCAGACGAGAACCTGAGATATTCGAACCCACATGGGATTTGGCACTGGGTGGCAGGAGAAGAGAGTGTCCCCCTTGTCCTCTGCTAGCTTGAGGTATTCTTAGATAAATCTGAGTATTAAATTCAAACTTATTTTAAGGAGATGTTTCTACACTCTGTCTGGTATTTTAAGCCTGTTTCTAAGAGTCTATCTTACTGACTGAAGACCAGCTTGGTAGACTATCTTTACCTTTCTCTGTTACTCATGTTTCTGGACTTAAAAACCCGTAGATGAGAACACTATTTCCAGATGAAGCCTCTGGGAGGAAGACATGTACACATTCTCCACGAGTCACGTGCTTCACTCTCTTTTCTTCCCTCTGGTGCAAAATAAGTGTTTTATTTTAATCTATTATAGAATCACTTCTTGCTGGCTAACATTAGAAGAAAATAGCTACAGTCAGTTCTGATCACAGCATCTGCCTCAATGCAGCCCCATCTACTCCGTGGTGCGTCAGATCATTTGGCAGAGGCATTGCCTGAGCCACAGATCATCTAGTTCAATACCTTCATTGTACAAAGGGAAAAAACGGGGAACCAGACAGGGGCACATTATGACTTTCATGGGCCCTAGGCACTTTTGCCTTAGTAGGCTCCTGCCTCCATTAAAAAAAAAAAAAATACGTATATTAAAAACTATATTTTATGGGGCCAGCCCGGTGCCCCAGTGGTTAAGTTCGGTGAGCTCCACTTTGGCGGCCCAGGTTCGGTTCCCAGATGCAGACCTACACCACTTGTCACCAGCCATGCTGTGGTGGTGACCCACATACAAAATAGAGGAAGACTGGCACAGATATTAGCTCAGGGCAAATCTTCCTCAAGCAAAAAGAGGAAGATTGGTGACAGATGTTAGCTCAGGGCGAATCTTCCTCAGCAAAAACAAAAAACTATATTTTATGACTGCAGTGGTATAATGATGAATATATTCTGGATTATATTTGTCTTTATACCAATGCAGTCAAAGTATGTAACTTGCTTACTGCAAGAAGTAAAACATCTTAGTGGGCCCCTAACAGTGCTGTGGGCCTTAGGCACTGTGCATACTACACTAATGGATGAATCACGCAGTACATCTCAGAGGAGGAAAACACTCGCCCAAGTTACCCAGTGTGACAAGGCCAGAGTCAGAGACCCGCCTCCCCTGACTCCAGTCCCCAAGCCCATTTCACTCTTCCTTCCTCCTATCTAAGACAGTGACTTGTTAGTATTCGATTAGTCAGGTTTGTTTGTGGGAAAATAGTAGAAAGAAACATAAAAAATAAATAAATAAATAAAATAAAAATAAGAGGGTTCAAATTACGCACTTTTAAGAGATGAAATCTAGCAAGTCTATGAGAACAACTATCTTCTGAAATAAATATGGCCCAACCCAGTTATTAAAAGGTTCATTATTACTGAAGGATTCATATAACATGCAGATCAAACTCTCCCCTCCTTTCTTTACATGCATTGCAAACAATAACAGCATAACAATTTTATCTAATACACTAAGCTTTAAGGCATAAAATGGCCCTATTCTCTACTCAAAAATTTTTTTTTAATATTTCCCCACATACGCTTGAAGAAGCTCCTAAGACGCTAGGTTTCAGATCTTCCAAGTATATAAGCACGATGAAAAAATTCAAGGTTTCAACTGAGGAGGAAAAATCTCAACAGCGTAACAAAGCTTCACTGTATTTAAGTGTCAGGTTTTAGAAACTGTGCTGACACAGACACACAGAGACACATACACACTACAACACCTGAGAATAGAGTACTGAATTAATCCAACTCATTTCATCTTCACTGTAAAACTCCTCCTCAAGCTGAAGGGCCTGTTCCACTTCACTTCAAATTATTTCACATATGCCCACTAACTGCAAGGCAGAATGGACCCATCCTTCCAGAGTAAGGTGCCTGGGCTCAGGAAGTTAAATAATGGAAATGATTCTTAAATGTGTGTGAGGTTATGGAAGAAAAACTCCAAATGCTCTTCTCTGTTAAGTAAAATCCTTTTTAGCCCTCTCTCCACTTCTGCCAGTAAAACTGAGTTCTACAAGCCTGGTTCTTTTGCTTATAATGCTAACTAGTAAAATTGTAGCACCCATCCTTGAAAAATTTCCAGAAGTAACAAAAAGATGAAGGAGATGTCCTTATTTCCCTGCAGCTTCAGATGGAGAGAGATCTTTCTTTAAGGAATCTATTTGATAAGCTGATAAACTGAGAACTTTTACAAGAGTATCAACCTTGTCTCTAGTGTAAATCGAGATATGTGTGGATATTCATCACTGTCACTCATTTGTTTTTTTAATCTGTTTTTACATATCTGTCCTTGGAAGTATAATTTTAACAAATATATTAACAATTTTAGAAATTATCATGTTCTGTGAAAAAAAAAACTTGTACAAGTAATTTTGATTAACTGTTTTAATAGTGAGTAGAAATAAGACTACAGCTGACTTCTGTATATTCCTGAAGTTTATAAGCAGTGGCAACTTCTCTCCATCAATTGCTTTCCTCTTCCCCTGCATGCATGATGAAAAATAAAAGCTCCTAACTCTGCTAAATTTATTATTGAACAAATAAACTGAAATTCTCCATTTTGTTTAAAGCAGCAGAGTCATTGCTGACTATGATCAAAGTGCTGGGAAAACTGATGCCATTTGATGTCCCATTATACACCACAAATACTCTCGTAGCCCATCATGTGTTCACTTCCATGCTAGCAATGCTAGTGGAAGACGTCACTAAAATAGTTCAGTGAAATCCACAAAGAATGTACTCAATTCATTTAGCCAGTATTGTCAAGTTTCTCATACCTGCCCAACTTTCAACTACTGACAAAATGAGTTGTTGACCAATTCCATTTACCTGATTGTCCTTAAATGAAAGATATTAAGAATCACCAAAAATAGCCAAAAAGAGGCCATATAGAAGGAAAAGGGGAAACCAATGGCATGGAAAAGTCTCAAGCTGAGTAGCTGTCCCCTGAGTACTTTACATTGACGTGGGTGTGCTTCTCTTATCCATTACTTAAAAATGAACTGTCTTACTCTTTTTAATTACAGAATAAAAACTGCAGGAAAGTACTTAAAACTTTTTTCACAAACACAGGTACCTCATTAACCTATGTTTTATTTTGAGTAAATTCATTATTCATTATTTCACATTATAAAAAGTAACCACACACGCATATGCATTCACAAATTAGATCATCTTTATCATACATCAATATATTTTAAAAAACAAACATTTTCTAATATCAATATAGTTGTACGCTGATTGTATTTTGAAATAGAGAAGCTGACAATAGCTTCATACAGTATATCTCAAGAACTGACATTTTAAAATTAAGAACCGCATGTGCTCCACAGGCAAATTTTGATGGAAATATTAGCATTAGTACAAATAAAAGCTGTTCATATAGCTTGAGCATGACAGCTTGGACTAACAGCTCATTCAAACTAGACTCACCATTTTCAATTAAGTGAGGACAAATACAATCTAAAATGTAAACCAAGTATTTATAAAACAAATTCTTCTAGGAAATAAAGGAAATCATCAATCTATTATTTTGAAGGTAGTTGTAGCTAAAAGTTATCAGAAATCTTTGTAGAATTTTCATTGCCAGATTTAAATTTCGGAATGTCCAGGTAGAACATATCGTCACCACAACTGTAAGACTGATAAAATGGTGGATGGCTGTTTGTAGCCTTCTGGGCGTGACTTTTCAATTGGGTTTGGAGATTCGTGAGAAAATGCAATGTCTGTTTTACTCCCTAGTCCCCCTCCAAGTGATTATCTAGCTAAAGCAATTTCAGTTGATTTGGACTTTCATATAATTTTTAAATGCTAAAACTCCAGAACAATTAAATAGATGGTTTCCTGCACAAATAAATGCAGACTTGTCTCTTTTGCAGTAGTTAAAGCACATACCTACAGTTGTTGTTCATTATACTTCACTATAACATTGGAATTCTGTAATCACATTATTATTCAAGAAATATATATTATACCTCCTAGGGAAGCTAATTTCAAATATGGAAAGTTTAACAACATCGGCTGCCATCAAGTCTCTCTTTTCTATTCATTTAAAAAAACAAAAGCCCTGGCCATTGCTTCAGCCTTGTCCACCAATCACACTATCTCCAGTTGTCTTTGTTTTGCCTCCTTCATCAAGTAAATGATTTAAGGATTGGATTTTCTGGATTTTCTTTGTCCGAGGGAGAGGAGAGAAAAAGAAAGAGAGAGAAAAAAAGAAAAGAAAACATGAAAAATTTTATCCATATAATGCTTACAAAGTAAATAAGAAATAGAATCTACTTTGAATAAACCTAATATATGAGAATTCTGACTAGGTCAAAAAATGAATTACGCATTAAAGATCACTTGGAATTACCTTTAATTACCAAATCCTACGTGCATCTAACATAGCATTCAATTCAATTCATACAACTTTTCCTACATGTTTTTGTATAACCATAATGGAAATTAACACAGGCCTAAATATATCAATTGTTTGGCCTTAAAAGACATAAGATATGATGCATTCCCGTACTTCCTGAATACCAGGTGTGTCATCTCTATGACACTGAAAAGTTGGAGAATGTATTGCATAGAATTTTTTTCAGAACGAAAAACTGAGATAATTAATACTTTATGAAATCCCTTCATATAGGCTTATTTTAAGTAAAAGGAGATATTTTCATTGGGATATGGCATGGCGCTGAATTGTGGATAATACTTCATAGAAACAAGACCAACGTAGACATTGGCCACCTATTCCAGTTATGTGGTACTGTGCAATCATAATAGTCCAAGTTAGAACCACACCATAGAGAAATAGAATTATGGACTTGAATATCTAGTCACATGTTAAAGAAACAGCTGTGATACCAATATTCTTCCTCCTTCAGAATATTCAGAAAAGAAACAAACTTGATGTGATATGTTAGCAGAGTGTTTCTAGTTTCATTTTTTTAACAATCAATTATATATATATATATATATAACTGATTATATAATATATATTACATATATTGAGTAAGAGAAAATTCAGTCTGTAAAAAGGAAAAACATGCTCAACAATGAAAGAACAGATAAAGATAGTAATCCGAAATAAAAGAGAGCCGCTATAAATATATGAGGTTTCAATGGTCTTAAAAAAATGCCTATGGCATTTAGAAAAGTAAGTTGAGAAGAGAATGAATTACATTCTGATGTTATCAAATATGTTCTTCAATAGAAGAATCCCAGGGCAATCTTTTGAGAGGAAGAGGGTCTAGGGTGACAGAGAGGAAGGATCTCAGGATGCTAGAAGGGAAAGGCATCTTAGAGGATGAACCAGGAGTCAACCTCGTCATTTTACAGATGGGCACAATGAGGCCCAGAGTTCTGAACTGAACTGTACACGGCCACTTAGCTGCTCCTAGCCCCAGGGCACAAGGCTCCAGCTCCAGGCTCTCTATAGACCATACCCTGCCCTGCCTCTGTTCTCATCACTTTTAAATGGAGCTTCCATAGTATAATCATCAGAGCAATAATTGTAGGGGCAAAGAGCATTCTCTGTAGACAAAAGTACGCTCTGTGTTAATGCTAATCTGTAATATCAATATCACCTTTTCTACCTACTGTTACTTTTTTCTATAATACTGAAGTCCTAACTCTTTCCATGAGCTCCATTCAATAAATTTCTCTGTTTTGAATGAATTTGGAATACATCTATATTTGTATATACCAGTGGCCAATTAAAATTTAGAATAAATTACAATATAGTTCAGTTCCTAAAAGGGGCTCCAGTGTGGAGTTTCTGCAGAAAGATTTTTTTCAAAAAAAGATTTTATTAGAAAAGCTTCATGAATTAAGTGAAATATGTTTAAAAGAAAATCTGAATCCTGTTTAAATTCTCTTCTGATCAGAAGGTTCGGGTGTCCTGTATGAAAGAGTAAACCTGTAGCTGTAGTTTGGGCGTCCTGGCTGAACCACTTCTGCCCTGACATGATCTCTCCTCACGGTGATCTTCATGCTACCACCCTCTTAGGTGTTTAAACTAAAAGAAACAAAGGCTTCAGCAGTTCACACAAGATATAAATAGCACATAAAAAGGAACCCCGGGGGGAAAGGAGAATAGAGGCCCTTTATAAGCTCAACTTTAAGAACAAGTATAGTCTATAGAAATCTCCAGCTTACTGGACCCACACCTCTGGATTACATGCTGCAAAGTAATAGTTCTTAAGTGGCATCAGTTGTACCCATCCTTTTGAGCACTGGGCGATTACATACTGTGTACTTAAGCTAGTTAGGTACTAGCAATTATATCCTGTGTCTTCTCAGAGATAAACTCCCTGAATGCAAATATTTCATAGAAAAATAAACAGATCTCAGATATTAGTGGGAGCCATTTAGTTTCTTGTTGATTTCCTAAGGTTACAATGTCTTTGCCACATATAAATCGTCTCATATAAAGTGTCTAACATTACACAGGCATATGTGATAATAATCCCTTTTAATTTATAACATTTCCTCATAATAGACATTTTCTGTTCTTTTGAAAGTATTTACATGGGAAGTAAAGTGCATGGAGAAAAGAGCAGGACGGCACACTTAGCAGTACGTCACTGGGTTACTTACAAGGTAGCCTTCCGTGGTTGTGCGTCTTTACTTCCACTGCTCTTTGGATCAGCGGAGTTACCTGTCCCACGGGAGGTGCTCGGCAGGGGAATGTTAGGAGAAAAGGAAGTTGGAGCATTGTTGGCATTACGAGTCCGGAATGAATCATCTGAAAGTCACACAAGCAGAGTCAGACGTACTGAAGATACCAAGAAAGACGTTAACCTAAGAGAAGAAAGGGTCAATGATAGCTGACTTTTTTTCTTTTTAAATCAATTTTATTAAGGTATAATTTATATACAATAAGCTGCACAAATTTAGGGTTTTGACATATGTATCCACACACGAAGCCATCATCACAATCAAGAGTGAAGACACCATCACTACCAAATGCCTCCTCCTGCCCCCTTGCAGTCCCCTCCTCCACCCTCCAGGAACCACTGACCTGCCTCCTGTCACTATTGATTAGTTTGCATTTTCTAGAATTTTATATAAATGGAATCATACAGTATATATTCTTTTTAGTCGGCTTCTTTCATTCAGCATGATTACATTGAGATTCATCCATGTTGTTGTATACATCAATACTTCATTCCTTTTTATTGCTGACTAGTATTCCATCGTATGGATATGCCAAAATTTCTTCATCCATTCTCCTGTTGATAGACATTTGGATTTTTTCCAGTTTTCGACTATTACAAATAAAGCTGCTATGAACAATCGTGTGCAAGTCTGTACGTGGATATATGTTTCCATTTCTCTTCAGTAAAAGCCTAGGAGTGGAATTTCTGGACCACATAGTAACTTCATGAGAACATGCTAAATTATTGCCCAAAGTGGTTAGCTTTGAAAATTTTAGACGTTCTAGTGGGTGTGAAGTGGTATCTCCTTGTGTTTTTTCTCCTTGTTGCTTTTAATTTGCATTTCTCTAATGATTACTGATGTGAAGCATCTTTTGATGTACTTATTTGTGTATCTTCTTTTGTGAAGTATATTTTCAAATCTTTATCCCATTTTAAAACTAGTTGTATAATTAGTTTTAATGGCCAGCCCTGGTGGTCTAGTGGTTAACGCTCTCACCACCACAGCCTGGGTTCGTTTCTTGATCAGAGAACCACACTATCCATTTGTTAGTTGTCATACTGTGGTGGCTGTGTGTTGCTGTGATGACCCACGGTAGACAGGGTGACCCATGGTGGACAGGTTTCACTGGAGCTTCAAGACTAAGACAGACTAGGAAGAAGGACCTGGCTACCCACTTCTGAAAAAATTTGCCATGAAAACCCTGTGAATAGCAGTGGAGCACTGTCTGATACAGTGCTGGAAGGTGAGAGGATGGCGCAAAAAGACCGGGCAGGGTTCCGCTCTGCTGTTCACAGGGTCACTAGGAGTTGGAATCGACTCGATGGCACTAACAACAAAATTAGTTTAAAGATTTCTTTGTATATTCTAGATACAAGTCTTTGTCAAGTATGTATAATACAAATATTTTCTCCCAATCTGCATCCCGCCTTTTATTTTTTTAATGCTCTATATCAAAGTGCAAAAGTTTTAAATTTTGATAAAGTCTAATATGTTAATTTCTTCTTTAGGGTTTGGAGAAATCTTTGTCTATTCCAAAATCAAAGACTTTCTTCTCTATTTTCTTCAGAAATGTCATAGTTTTAGCTTTTATGCTTAAGTTTATAATACATTTTGAGTTAATTTTCTGTATAGTATGAGATAAGAATTGAGGTTCAGCTTTTCAGGTATTTTTAATATGGATATCCAATTGTTCTAGCACTATTTTTTAAAAATGCTGTCTCATCACCATTGTTTTATCTTGGAGCCTTTGTTGAATATCAACTGACTATACATGTCAGTATAAGCCACATGCTCTTGATTACTGGAGCCTGATAGGAAGTATTGAAATCAGGTAGTTTAAGTTCTCTAAATTTGTTTTTCTTTTTCAAAATGGTTTTGGCTATACTCAGTTCTGTACATTTCAACATAGATTTTAGAAACAGCTTATAAATTTCTACAAAAAGACTGCTAGAATTTTGACCAGGATTGCATTAAATCTCTGGATAAATTTAAAAAGAATTGACATCATAACAAAATTAAGTTCTCCAATCCATAAACATGGTATATCTCCTCATTTATCTAGGTCTTCTTTAACTTCATTCAGCAATGTTTTGAAATTTTTTGTGTACATACAGCACATATTTTGTTAAATTTACCCATGAGCACTTAATGTTTTTAAAGTTATTGTAAATGTTATTTTTTAAAATAGACTTTATTTTTTAAAATACTTTAGGTTTATAGAAAAATTGAGAAGATAGTACAAAGAATCTCCATCTACCCCCTCACCCAGTTTCCCCTATTATTAACACTTACATTAGTGCACTATATTTGTTATAATCAATGAGCCAATAGTGATACATTATTATTAACTAAAATCCATAGTATTCATATTTTCCTAGTTTTTACCTAAATGTCTGTCTCTGTCTCGGGATCCCATCTAGCATACCACATTACGTTTACCTGTCAGGTCTCCGTACGCTCTCCCTGTCTGTGATAGTTCCTTAGCCTTTCCTTGTTTCTCATGACCTTAACAGTTTTGAGGGGTACTGGTCAAATATTTTGTAGGATGCCCCTCTATTAGAATTTATCGGATGCTTTTCTACAATTAGACTAGGGTTATGGGTTTGAGGGAGGAAGACAGAGGTAAAGTGCGATTTTCATCACATCATATTGAGGGTACACGTTATGACATTTTTATCACATTTTATGTATTTTATTTTATTGCTTCATGACAGATCACTAGAAATGGGATTTTTTAAGTCCAAGAGTATTTTTAAAAAGTAAGATTCCTGATGAACTTTACCCAACTGCTTCTAAAAAGTTCCATGGATTTTCACACCCACTAACAATGGATACGCTGCAGTTCGTTTCCCTGAATCCTTCCTAGCACTCTCTTTCTATTTCCTCCAGTCTGCTGAGCCCACATAGCCTTGGATGGAATGCTGTAGCTGACAACAGGCCTAGGTCACCAAACAGAAATGATGGCTTCACATTAAGTGAAAAGTACTCAGTTCGACCTTCCAAGCTATGACTGCTCTTTCCTTTCCATTTCACTTAGCACCACTCTCCTACACTCACCGCACGCTCAGCCAAACCGGCCTGCTGGTGCTCCCTGAAGACACCGCCACCCACTCCTGTTTATGACAGATACTCTGCCCGGGGTGCTATTCCACACTCGTCCCTGCCTCTCAAAATCCTAGCACACCTGAAGGTTCATCTCAATGACACAATCGTCTTGACGCCTGTCTTAAGTCCCACAAGTAAATAAAATCTCTTCTCCATGTGAACACCTAATCCATTGTTAGGAGACATTTTGCTCCCATTTTCTCTTCATAGATCAGATGTGTAATTGTATAGTGACATTTTCCTCAGTCTACTTCATTAAGTAATAAATAATAATAACCTAGGAGATATTTCATTCAACCTATATTCTCTGTCCCCCAAATAGAGACGGGGATAGAGTATTTTCCAAATATTTTAGTAAAAGATTTACTCTTATAAAATACATGCTTTTTTTTAAGACTTTAGATGTTAAATTTTAGGATCTGTACATCATAAACACTTTCTTGATTCCTAAGGTGACAGGAGGTAGCAAAGTAAAAACTAAAGAAATTAATGCACATAATTAAAACTTTTAAAAACCAGTTCTGAATCAATATTCTTAATGATTTGGGCAAAGAAATTTCTTGGCAAGAATTGTTACAAGTTCCTGAATAAATATGCTCATTTATAGCTGGGTGAAATCATCTCCAAGAGGCCACATGGTACCCATCCAAGTTTGAAGAACCCCTCATGGACATCTATAATCATTTGTACCAGTAGCTCCAAATTGAGATAATTCAAACTCACTTTCCATACACATTTACAATTTTTAAAGGCACTCTATATTGTAAATAAAATTCTCAAACCCTGAAATGTTCCCTAAAGAATTCACCATTTTGTTGAAATAAAAGTAATCAACAGTTTTACTATTTATAGCCCTCACTTCAAGAAATGTTGATAACTTCAGTTCAACAACTGTTATCAAATTCTTTCAGGTTTCTTCTGATAGTCAGTCTACCTTGGAGAACTGCTCTATATACTCTATATGAATGTCAGTGGTTTAATATTAGAAAGATTTTCTCTTCTGGCAAATGAAAACTCACTGTTTATAGAATAGCCAATGAGTTCATATATATTCTTCATGAGAATAGTAAGAAAACAATAAGAGGTGAGAGGAAGAAAGAAGACTCAAAATGTAATCTAAAAAGGAAATGTAACTAAACTTTAAAAAATTTCAGAACTTTGAGTAGATTTGCTATTATTTACACTAAAAAATTACCATAGATCAATATTACAATTTTCAACTAATATTTCCAAGGCAAAAAGTTAAAAATATCCTTATAGCCACTAGCAATTTTTAGTAGTATATTTTCTCTTATTCATAGTATAATTTTATGTTGTATTACGTAAGCCAGAGGTCAGCAAACTATAGCCTGTGGGCCAAATCTTGCCTGCTGCCTGGTTTTCCAAATAAAGTTTTATTGGAACACAACCACACCTACTCGTTACATATGGTCTATGGCTGCTTTCACTCAACAACAGAGCTGAGTAATTGTGACAGAAACCAATTTGCCCAACAAAGCCTAAAATATTTACTATCTGGCCCTTTGAGAAAAAGTTTGTTGACCCCTGGTATAAACTTTCAAATCTATAATATTGTAAATTTTAGCTTCATATGATCCATGGTGATCCTACTGTTTTTAACTTCCTTAAAAATTACTGCAAGAACTTGCAGTCCGTGCCTTAGCAGGTCCTCAGACACGGTAAGACCTATCCTGTCACCGTCCTTTTTCTCTTCTAAAAGTAGGGAACTCTGCATCTTGATACAGTGAAAACAAAATAGTATAGTCAAGTATTTTCTCAATTGCTAGGAAAAAGTTTAATTTTTTAGGTATTTGATAAAGATATAAATTTAGGAAAAACATTGTATCTAGAAATAAAGAAATAGGTCATTTAAAGAAAATCATATTTTATCAAACTTAGCAAATTTTTGAAGAGCTCAGATTTTTACTTACCAGTTAGTGATATCATAGAAGTCTTTGCTGAGACAGGAGGAGTATATGTTGCTGCAGAACTTTTACTAGAAAAGAACATGATTTAGCTTAAAATACAAGAACATGCTTCTCTCAATCCCAGTCATCCAGCACTTGGTCTTTTCTAATATTGTTTTAGTCCTTTCCTCTACCTCTTATGAAACATGCTTGCGACTTTTATTTCTCATTTATTTTTTACATTCCACGCTTCACAACAATTACTCTGTCTTTTAAAAAAAAAAGAATAAGTTTTTCTTTTGATGCTCAGCCACGACAGGTAATAAGGATAAAGTTTTCCTGGAAATAACTTATCTTTAGTTCTAATCTCTTTTGTCCATCTTGAGGTCACCCTATTAGCTAGGAACTCCAAATAGATCTATAGATAATGTCCAAAAATATAGCTGAAAATCTAGAATAAGCTATCTTTAATGAGAGAAAAACACTTTTTTCCATAACGTTATTTTTCTTGATACTTTTTCCTGGCATGAGAATATTCACCCTAAGCTAACGTCTGTTGCCGATCTTCCTCTTTTTCCCTTCCATCTCCCTGCAAAGCCCCGGTACACAGCTGTGTATAGTTGTCAGTTCTTCTGGTTCTTCGCTGCGAGCCACCGCCACAGCAGAGCTGTTGACAGACGAGTGGTGTGGTTCCTCATCTGGGAACCGAACCATCAAGGCTGGCTTGATAAATACTTTTAAAGACATTTAAGTTTCCTTAAAATTACTTTGTTTGTCAATTGATATGCAGTTGTTACACACTATATGTGTGCAATATATATAAAAAATCATGGTCATTTACTTTATGCTGACTCTCTCCTAATCTTAACTGTTTATAATTCTGCCTGTGGGACCGAAGGGGAAACTAGACATTCCTCTATTTTCAGGAGAATTCTGTTGTGATCACTTTACCATAGAACCATGCCAGTGGCTTGTTTCTAGACACAAACAATATTAACAGCAAATGGATGTCCACATCCATTTAGCAAAGGGGGTATTGCATACCCACTTAGAAGTTGAGTGGCAGATGTGACATAGCACCACCTTCCTCATACAACGACACACGGATTCCATGATGTTATTATATAGTGTCATGGCAGTAGTCTTCCTAGAATGCCAGGATACCTATTCTTATGGAAACTGGTAGACTACTATTTTTTTAACAGAACATTCTTCACAAAAGAAAACTTACAAATTATTGATCCATTAAAAACTCAAAATAAATTCTGATTTTATATAATAATGTAAATATCTCACATAAAGATGCGTGACTATAAAATAAAAATTAAGTAAAACATGAACAGCTGACAGATCATACCTACTAGCACACTTGTCTAAGTTGCCATATTTTGCATGAAAAGCTTGATTATTAAAAGACTGGCTTCGAATCAATTTGGATTTCTTGATTTCTTTGCCTAGAGTAATAAGCAGAAGGAAAAGGCAATGTTCAGTTTATCCTTAGCTGCCCCAACCCCGTTCCCTCTCCAACTCCCACCATTTTCAGTAAAACACATGGTCTAGCTTCTTTTCCTTAGTGTGAGCTGACTGAGTATCTCTGATCGCTATTGCCCATTTACAACTCTGGAAACAATGAACTATAAGAGGCAAAAGGGCTTTAGAAGAATATATCTCACCTAATAGAGTGACTTTCCCTATAATTAATTTTTATAAAAGGAAAAAAAGGCGATATAAAAAGAAGTTGTTCCTTACTTGTTGGTGGGGTGCCAGAAGAGGGCCCGGGAACAGAAATGGGGATGCTCTTGGGCAGAGTTGTTGGTGTCTTAGTGTCTCTACCTAAAACAAACTCTGTTTTAAGTGCTATAATGTCCTCCGAGTTCTTATTAATCTCTATAAACATACAAGACAACACACAGAATATGAATCACTATCCCTAGCTAGCAGCACTCTTTCCCTAATATTCTTACATATATTTACATATTTCAATCTTAGTTATTCAGTGATCAATTTCACAATCTAATTGCTGTTATCAAACTGATCATTAGTCAGTGATCAATTTCACAATCGCATTGCTGTTATCAAACTTGAAGCTTCCCCTTGCAGCACCTGAACCTCCACACTGACCCCCACCGTTTATGCACGTATTCCTAAGTCTGTACCACATTAAGCAGCCAATTTTTGAAATCAACTTTTAAGAAAAATGAAAGGATATGGAGAAATGTTCCAGATCAAATTAAAAAATCAGCATGGTCTTTCAGAATGCCAGGATGCAACACCACTTGTGTGACTTAGTGGTGAAGACAAAGGAAAACTACTTACGTTTCTTTTCAAAGGTTTTATCACTCACGGGCTTTCCATCATTCTGTTGCTTCTCTTTCTCTAATTGTTCCTATTATTAAAACAGTATCTTAGCGTTAAAGGTAAGCATAAACAGACTTAGAATATTGTTCTAATGAGAAATTACTGTAAGCTTTACAGATACAAATATAGTTCACAAAAATGCCTAAAAGAAGTATTTTCCCCCCAAATTAGTGTGCAAAGAAGTCAAAGGTCTTTCAGATTTGTGTCCTTTTAACATCTATAGAATTGTGCCCTTGGGGGTTTGTCAAACTAAAAGAATGAGTTTAGTATCATTGTTGTAATGAGCCTTCATTTTCTAGAAAGTATTTACCAATTCTCATCAGCAAAATATCTGTTGGAATGGAAATTGGTGATTTCCATTTCTGATTGGTAAATGGCAAAATAATATTTTTCTTTAAAAAGACGGAGAGAGAAGAAAATGGTCTTTTGAATATTTTTTAAATGTTTTATTGCAGTATAATATACATACAGAAAGTGCATAAATTATAAGTGCACAGCTCCCTGAATTTTCCAAAAATGAACACATCTACATAACCAGCTCCCAAATCAAGAAACAAAATGTTACCAAAACTCAAGAGTCCTTTATCCCAATAGAACAAGTAGGCAAGAAAATCAACAGACACATCAAGTTCTGAACAAACTTGGCATAACTGACATGTATAGAACACTCCACTCCACAACTGGAGAACACACATTCTTTTCAAGTGCAGATAAAAATAAAGAAAAAGATGGAGAAAGCAGACAGCAAGA